ATTTTGGGGAGGTCGTTTATATAGATTAGAAATAACAGGCAGCCCGGAACTCCCTTGAGGGATGGATGCGTTACATTTTTTTCTCGTAGGTACTGATTTTTTTCTTTCATTTCGTAATTGAAGTAGTCTATTTCTACGAATAGCTCTCGATTCTGTAAGTATGATTTTAACCATCCGTATGCTTTACCATGGATCATTATACCCACAGAAATCGTAATAATAAGACAATAGAAGTCGCATAGACGCGTGACCTTGTCGCCACTGTGATGTGTTGACGTACATCATTCACAATTTTGTGATTTGGTTGCGCGGGGAATGGCGTACGTAAATTTATATTATTATAAATTTATAATGGTGAACTGTAGCATAATCAGTTGTAAAAACTCATCAAGGACGTGTAATTCAAATAGTAAAGGAATAACATTTCATCGGTGAGTTTATTATTTACTAATTATTATTGTTTTAACTAATTTACATATAGATGAATACTTTAACTTATGATATTTACCTTTGTAAACTCATTTATTACTTTTCGTATTGTAGAATTACCATTGCTGATTTTGTTCTACCGTAATACGCGACACACGCGACGTTGACAAGCTCGACAAGCAATGTAATGTGAAGCATTAGATATCATTGTGCATTGAGTATGTTTATAATACGGTAAGATGTGGCGACATCGGTTTTGGAAGTAATCGAGCGCTAATTCATGTCTATTCTCTTATTATTACTATTTCTGTGACTATACCACACGCTATACGTTTGTTAAAAATAATTTTGAATTGAACCTTACCGGAAACTTTAAACATGTCTAGTAGTACACCGATTGCGTATTTTTTATTATTAATTATGATAAACCGCTAATGTTGTTTGTGTCAAGTAGACGCAATGAACAATAAATCGAAAGTGACAAATAAAGTACTACTTACATCAGTTTGCCAGATCAAAATTTTGAAGACACAGCCGCTCATGGCCATACCAAGCATTGACCTCTTCATATTTGGTTGGGCGATTACTTGAAAAGAAAGCTCATCGTTAATGTCCCCACATGTTAACTGGTTATTCATTATCATCACCATCTGAATGCTTGGCGGTCTACCATTGTGCGATTTACTAGGAGTTTTATTCCTCGCACGACTTATTTGTGGGATCATTTGCCACCGGTTATTTTTCCGGACCGATACTACTTCGAGACCTTCAAGAAACGAGCTTACTCCTTTTAAAAAACTCAAGAAAGCACCTGCATCCTCTAATATTGCTATTGTTCATGGGCGGCGGTACCACCAGGTAAGCTGCATGCTCGTTTGATCCTCTTCTATAAAAACAAAAATCATTACAGCTCTTAATAAGTCCACTACTGAACATTGCGTTGTCACCTCTGAGAACTGGGCTGGAATTTTTACAGCCTGTAAATATTTTATTTTTAAGATATAGAAACAAATGTACAAACGGTATTTATAACAGTATTATCAAAAAAGAGTATAAGTGCCTTTACGTACATTCAACACCGTATACCAAATATTGCAATAAATAATAGGTAATGAGTTGAAAAGGAAAGAGTTAGTATCGTAAAAACTATTAAACAGTATTAAGTAATCTTGCACGAATTAAATATAAAATTTGTAATAGGTATATATACTTATAATTTATTCTCATATATTTAAAGCAAAAGTCTGAGGCAATAAAAATATCAATATCACTAAAATAGTAGATAAGTATATGATTGCTATATGTGACTTAAGAGCGGGTACAAATACAAATTGTCAATGTTAGATCAAATATTTACGTAGCGTAGTAAGTCAAGTTCAAAGTAACAAAAAATTATTAATATGAATATTACATCGTAATTGCGAGGACGTTATTGATTGAAAACATACGAGTAACAGAATAAAATTATAAATAAACCAAAACTATTTAATACTTTTATGAATAATTAACATGAAAAAAATAATTATATGTACATTTTATATGTATATAACTGGTTTCTCGGAATCTACTCGTAAGATTTGGGTGAAATTTGGTATTTGATAATATTTTACTTCACCTACAAATCTATGTGTATGCACATCTATGAAGAAAATAATATTTTTTTCTAATTCCGTGCAAAGTTTGGTCACACAGTCACTACAATATTATAACACATCATATATCTTGCAAAGATGTGCTTTTGCTTTGTGCTGATCCTGTACGATGACCACCGCACATCACCCTGTGCGAGTTATGGTTGTACATATTACCTTCGTCCGCCGCGCCGTACTATAGCGTCGCGATCTCCCTGCGGGACGCGGAGTTGACATCGTAAAATCGTAAATGTTCTGGCTTTCATACCCGCTCTGTGTTAATAGGGGGGGGGAAAGTATTTTTTTTAAAATTTCGTTTTTTTTAATACATTTTTTAAAAATTCTTTTTGGGGGGTGATTCTTTGTGGGTTCAAAAGTGGTTGTTGAAAAAAAATACATTTTATAACCCCTTTCTTTTTAAGTAAATTGGTTTGCTTCCTCTAATCGGTACGAAAGCCAACGTTAATACGACAGATGCTTGTCAAACATAGTTTATGCGATTATTTCTCACGAATACTTTGCAAACCACTTTGAACGCGATACGACATTTCATTAGTGAGTTGTATACAGTCAATAATATTATGTCATAGTTTAAACAAATAAAAACCTTTTATTAATATCCTTCTTCTGTAAAGAGGAAGAAACGAATTTTTTTCTAGTAAATGAATACTTATAACTTGAATACGAGCTGTGATAGCATCCATAGTTAACATTTTTAAAGAATTTGCGTTGAATTCACTCTAACTGTTGATTGTACAGTTGACCCGCGATAATCCGAATAACGTTTTGCAAGGCGGTTTTTTTATAGTATAGGGTGACAAACGAGCACACAGTCCACCTAATGGTAAGTGGTTGCTGTGGCCCATTGATGTCAACATCTATCCTCAATTACGAATCAAAATGCAGATGCGTTATCACCCTTGAGGATTAAGATGGAAAGCCTCGTTTCCAGTAAAAAGGGTCTCCAGTTCTCTACACTCGCCATACGAAACACAGCAGCATTAAGCTACTATTTTACGCTGGTATCCTGTGAGAACGTGGTCCTTCTCCGGTCGAGCCGACCCATTCATGCTACAACTATATTTCTAATATAACTGCAGTGTGCTGTTTATACCACGTATAAAACGCGGTGTCGGATTATCGAATTTGTCGGACTATAGAGTACAGCCACAGCCCCCTGGTAGTCCGGAACTTTTTGAAAAAGAGTACCTTGTAATCAGACAGATTACATATAAAATAAAATATAATAAAAAATAAAAATGTCATGTGATGCACAGTGAATACCTAAACAGTAAATAATGAATGCCCGCTAGGCTGCTACCGCAGTCACTTTTTAGGGTTCCGTAGTCAACTAGGAACCCTTATAGTTTCGCCATGTCTGTCTGTCCGTCTGTCCGTCCTCGCTTAATCTCTGTGACCGTTAGTACTAGAAAGCTGAAATTTGGTACCAATCACGCCGACAAAGTGGTAAAATAAAACTTGGAAAAAAATGTTTTATTAGGGTAGCCCCCCTATATGTAAAGTGGGAAGTGATTTTTTTTTTAATTTCAACTCTAACGTGTGATATATTGTTGGAAAGGTATTTAAAAATGAATAGGGGTTTACTAAATTCATTTTTTGATAATGTCAATAATTTCGGAAATAATTGCTCCAAAAGTAAAAAACAATGTGTCCCCTCCCCCCTCTAACTTTTGAACCATAAGTTTAGAAAATATGAAAAAAAAATGTGAAAAGTAGAACTTTATGAGGACTTTCTAGGAAAATCATTTTGAACTTGGATGGAAACAACAGTACCCACTACCGGGAGCAGTTGCAGGAGCGCGGAGCGCTGCTGGAGCGCGAACATAATGGATACCCACCTTTAAACTCATAAGTGGGAACACTTATTGTGACGGACGGGAAACTACGGAACCCTACACTGAGCGTGGCCCGACACGCTCTTGGCCGGTTTTTGAACTGAGACAATACGCTTTATGTTATTGATTCAAAGCGCGACTCAAATCTACCTACATGTTCAAGACATGTCGGATTACAAGAAGGGACGGATTAGTTAGGGGCCGGATTACCGGGGTCCACTGTATTTCTCATAAAATGGGTTCCAAATAATAGAGGCATATTTCAATATCGATCTTATTAGAAGAATTAAACAAGTGAATATATGAAATGGGCCGAACGAATTCACTACAAGAGCCGATAATAAAACCAAATATATAAAAAAGGTTTTGTTGGTATAGTTAATGTGATTGCTTAAATCAAGTCTTGAGTATAACTCCTAAATCTTTAATTGGGTCCACTTTGCATAACTCAGTATCAAATACTATATGTAACTAGCTTGCCAGGCAGACGTTCTTCTGTCCTTTTCGACGACCATTTGCCATGTCCTATTAAAAATCCTTAAATTCGCAAAAAAAATGTGGGTCATGGGCAAAAAGACTATCCTATCTCTCAAGTTGGACCAAACTGCACACGGCAAATATAAATCGGTTAAGTAGTTTAGGAGTCATCGCGGACAAACAACATAACACGTAATTTATATATATTAAGCATAGATATAGGAAATATATATTTCTACGGTGTTAAGATATACAGACTTTCTTAACCTTTCCGACCGCGACACATCAGTAAATGCACTGCTTTTGGGGGACAGAAATAGATAAGAGATTACATACGTAATATCCAAATTAGAAACATTTCGCGTTTTTAACGTCATTAAGCTAATACAAATAAAACCAAAAGCCTACGTAGTTCAATGACCATAAAGCCATAAGAGCCTACAATAATTCCCAATCTATACAATTCGAATAACATCGTTACGCAGCCATGCGTAAAATGGAGTGCTAGAAAGTGTTTAAAATTCGTTTTCTTTCTAGTTTATAAGAGGGCGATTGACATCACGCCAGCCATTACCATTGCTCTCCTAAAAGTCAACTGCTATCGAATATGGATCGCTACGTTTTGGTAAGTGATTTTTTTTTGTAGCTACTGCGCACCACAATAAGTGATGAAAGTTTCTAAGTTGAGTAAAAAGCTTTCGATGTTACTGCACAGTCTGGCGTCAAAGCGGGCAAAACGATTTGAGATTTTATCACCATCATTATTGGAGGTACGTGAGGGTAATATGACATAAAAATACAGCCTAGTTTGCATAGACGGCTTTGTGATACGATGATTCTTCATCGGCCAATCAAATAATGAAAGGTCAAAAGGCGCTGCTTTATCGACGCCATTTTGACAGTTGACATTAAAATAAAAAAAAATTGTCGATTTAAGTAATGTGTACTGTAGTCAGTTTTTTTAAGTTGATTTTTTGAAATGTTTCTAATTATTGCCAAAGCTTGTTTGCTATTTTTTTCTTAATATATTATTTATAGTATACGACTGTGTGTTTTTGTCTCTGTCCTCCTCCTCGTTTTGTTTTTAAAGGGCGGCAAAGCTTAAGGTGACCATATAACCCTTCCGTACCTTACTTGTCTTGTAGTTTGCATTAACGATTCGAAATTGACTTTAAACCACAGTTGGAAACAAATTCACTTAAAAATACGATTTCTCCGATGACGATGCTGATATAAATCTCAAATTATTTGTCCGCTTTTGCTACAGACAGTACAGTATCATCATTTTTACTTAATTAATACTACAACTTAAAGGCTTAAAACCATTATTTTAAGCAAACAATCTGCTGGCAGTCAATTTCCCGTCAAAACTTCCAATGTCAAGTTGTCAAACCATGTTATCAAAGTCATTTTCTTTGCTTATGGACTCTTACGATCTTGCTTAAGTACCTACTTGGGAATTTTCATTTATAATTATAATTTCTATAGCTTAATACAGCAGACATTTGATCAAGATATTATTATTAATATTACTGTATACATATTACAATTAATATTACTGTCAGAGCACTTTTTTCATCATTTATTAAATCATAGGTATCATAGGTTCACAAATTCGTAAATGGACAAAATTTCTCACCATTTTTTATACGTATCAAAATACATTGCAAACCATTTTAAAGAGGATAAGACAATATTAACTGCTTCTTAGCGGTCAGGGTCCCGCCTAAACTCTATATCTATTGACTTTTGCAAAAAGCTGTAATTGCATGTAGTCATGATTTTACAAAGAGCTGTGATAATTGGATGTACTCGTATGTAGGCATTTACATCTGCCCATCGGAAACAAAATGTAACGTGTTATCATCCTTGAGGACAGTTATCAGTAAAAAGGATCGCCGGTTCTAATCGCAACGATACGAAATACATCGGCACAAAGCTGCTAGTATGTTGTTATTGTATACGAGCGTAGTCCTTCGCCGATCAAGCCAACCTATTCGTAAAGCAGGCATTATACAGCTGCAATGTGACTCTACTTTTCAGTTATTGACGGCCTTATTCATAAAATTGACGTTAAGTTACGTATTCACTCGCACACTTAGTCATTGACTTTTTTACGTAGTAGAGCCATGCTGCAATTATATTATAGTTGTAGTACGAATGGGTCGGCTGTTTCGTTTGATGAGTGTATAGAACCGGAAACCCTTTTTACTAGAAACGGGGCATTCCATCTTAGTCCTCACGAGTAACAAGACATTTGCAAATTGATTCGTTATCGAGGATAGATGTAGATGTCTATGGGCCACAGACACCATTTACCATCAGGTGGACTGTGTACTCGTTTGCCACCCTTATACTATAAAAAAACACTGGTAAACAATGTTTCACTGACAATTTTTTTTATATAGAAGAGGGGGCAAACGAACATGCAGCTCACCTGATGTTAAGTGACTACCGCCGCCCATGATCAACCGCAACACCAAGGGAGTTGCAGTTGCGTTGCCGGCCCTTTAGAAAGGAGTAAGCTCTTTTCTTGAAGGTCCCCAGGTCGTATCGGTCCGGAAAAATCGCCGGTGGTAAACTATTCCACAGAGAGGTTGTACGCGGAAGAAAACTCCTTTTGAAACGTACAGTGGTGGACCGCCACGCATCCAGATGGTGTGGATGGTATCGGGAAGTTTGCCGCGTAGTGGCAGCTGGGATTAATCCGAACAATTCCTCAAAGCACTCCTCATGGTATATGCGAAAGAAAATGCAAAGAGATGCAACATCTCTTCGCAACGCCAGTGAATCGAGCCTATCGGAAAGCACTCGGTCGTCGACGATTCGAGCCGCTCTGCGCTGGATGCGGTCAAGTGGAAGGAGCTGGTACTGGGGAGCCCCAGCCCAGAGTTGGAACAGTATTCCATGTGCGGCCGAATGTAAAGAGTAAAGTTGCAGGCGGTGTGCCGGCATGAAATACTGTCTCGCTCTGCCGAGCACGCCAAGCTTTTTTAGAGGCCAATTTGGGCTTCTCTTCCAAGTGACCACGAAACTGCACGTCAGTCGATATGTCGATGCCGAGGATTCAGATACTGGCTGAGGCAATTAAGGGGAGTGCCTTGAAACTAGCAACTAGAAAACTAGTTTAGTTTTTTTTTTAGTTGTTTAGAAATATCACGTCAATAAGTAGCAAGATTCAGGAAACAGTTTCTGAGAATTTTAGCGTCCACATCATTCAGTCACTGATTGTGATTATGTCGCCCGAGAAAGTAGTGCTTTTAGCTGAAGCGTACATTTCTTTACATACAACGATTTTCCAGTTGAAACAAATGAAAAAGATGATTCGGAATTACATTTTATGGAGACAAAACTTATTGAGCGATTGTCGCATATCTGACGAAACATTTATTAAAATAATAATTTAAATATTGATATCTGCAATACAAGCGCAACGGCAGCCTTCAATGATATTATTTTATTTTATTTTATTTTAACCCAGGAATTGTGACCACAATATACGCATTTTCTTTCTGCGTCTTGATGATTTGTTATTCTTAGAGTTTTGACATTTCTTACCACGCGTTTTTCTTGATTTCAATTTTGCTATCCTATAATTTTACATTTTTTCTGCGACGTTTCTGATAAATTTATTGGACTTTGTACTTGTTTGTCACTCATATTCTATAATAAAAAAACGTCATATTTGTAATAAATATCCACAAGAGTTCACACTCGTAATCATTTGTTGCAAAACTGGTTGGAGTGGTTTCCTTTGCTCCTTTGCTCTCAATCGTCAGCGGGGAGGGCGCCAACTGTTTCGGAAACATTTAATGTCGACCGCAACTATATCAAAGGCTTATGAAACAAAATTATTTGTTTCAGAATTTAGATTTTATTTCTGAAACAGAGTTTATAAAAATCGTTTATTAAATCGATAATCGATTTCCCATGGTGCTAAATGTTTAAGAAACAAAATTATTTGTTTCAGTTGTTAATAAATTCATGTATAAGTAGGGACTTTTTGACGGCAGTCTAGAGACCTACGGTAATTCAATGTGGCAACACTGAATACAGTATAATTTAAATAGTATCAACAGGTTGCTTATTACGGACGTACAATAAAGAAGATTATGTAAATATATATAATTTTATTGTTACATTATCAAAAGAATTAAAGTACTGTAACAGTAATAAAAAATATATTTCGCAACATTATACGAAATATACTTAAACTTGTTTATATTAACCCTCAAGTTCCTGCCACCTATATTTGTAAAGCAAGTACCTGCCCGCGGTCACAGTGACTCCTACATTAAAACCATGTTTTTTTTTCATGTAATATAAGCCAATAATGTAATAAATAATAAATGAAACGCACTTTAAGATTATAATAATGACATTGAAAAGAAAAAAAACTAAATAACACAACATTTTCTTCTATGAAATGACAAAAACATAAATGCAGGCATATTTCTCCGAAAATTAACAATCATCTTCAAAAAATGAAATCAATCAAAATAGCAACTTAAAATTAGAGCAATTTGCACTTTTTTCTTAATATCTATAAATATTTGAACAAAACACAATTATAAAAATATAAAAATTATGAACATTTGATAAAAATTGCAGAGGGTAAAGTTCACAATTTTTCATGACAATTTTGGCACAATTTTTTGGCGCACTACAAACATATGGGTTTTTTACACATAAAACATAGGTGAAATGTTTTGCGTCTTTTCTTGGTATCGCAAGTTGAACACTTTTTATGTTTTTCTAGTTTATCTGCATCTGAGCAGCTGGGCATTTCATCCTCAATTTACAAAATGCGGCGTATTGAGCATTTTATGTCCCGAGGAGTGTTTTCATAACCCTCTCGCCGTTGCATGTGTGGTGTCGTCAGCTCTTGTGCTAGCCGTTTCATAAATTTGAATCTGCTTCCGGTTCTCTGTGTTTGATTGTGTGAACTCATGACGTAAACATTTGAAGCAGATATATCCAGCAGCCGATAAAAAATTACCAAGGGCCATCTTTGCGTTCGTCGGGCCGTTGAATAATTTGAGCATCTTTGATCTAATAAATCGACACCAATTTTAGTCTGGTTGTAATACATAATAACTTCTTTTGTTTTATTTTTTCGATTTTTTTTTTTTCGCTCTTTTACAAGTTCTATAGAACAAAACCAATTGTAGGCAGTAATATTTCTGTTCGAGCCTTCCACTGGGGGGATAAGTCGTAAAACTGCTAGCGTAGATTTTGACAACGTTTTTGTTCCGCTGTCATCCGATGAAAATTTCTTTGGTACTCTCACAAGCTGTGAAGACACAAATCTATTCTCACCAGTAGAATGATCTTCGTCGATTTTCTCTGAAGATGAAATACCCAAGCAGTCATCCGACTCGCAGTCTTCTGTAGGCACGGGATTGTCAGAACAAACGGAGTCCACATCGCTGCAATCTTCGTCACGGGTCTCCTCTTCATCCGACATCTCTTCTTCCAACCATTTTGTTATATTTTCGTCGTTTTTATTCATGTTGACACTAAAACAAAACAAATACACGTAATACAAAATAATCACGTAACTTCCTACGCGCGGTCACCATGACCGCTCACGAGATTTTTTTACTCACCCAAGCTAAAGTGGTGCATGTGTAGCCTCGCTGAGCGCATTCGTGACACTAACCTACAAGTAGAAAAGGTACATAGACGCACGTCAACGCGCGTTGCCGTTTAATGGAAAAAATCAAATTCGAATATTCAACGGAGTCACGGTGACCGCGGGCAGGAACTTAAGGGTTAATGATTAAATTAATTATCGTTATGTGATCATATTTCTCGTTTCAGAAGCGTAACGTAATAAGCTTTCCAATTTCTTTAATTAGACCTGTCACCAGTGTACTCAGTTTTAGGCAAGAATTTGATCTGAACTGTTAAAAAACAAAAATAGAAATATTTATTTGCTATGTGGTTGCGGCGTGATCCTAATGGATCCATCTCGTCATCGTATACCCCATATACAAGATCGTCGAAAGATCCTTCGTTAGATAGTTGAAGATATCTCGTATACCCTATGTCGTTTCATGGAGAAACTGAAACAGGAGATTGTTGAATTGATGTTGCAGCATCTCTATGATACCAACTCAAGACCGTAAAAATCTGCAGTTGCCAACTGGGAATGTCAGATCGAAAGACCAAAATATCTGAACAAAATTTGAAAATATAAAAAAAATGTAAAATAGAAAGTTTATTTTCAAAATTAATAAGTTACAAAAATACTTAACATTGTTGACACATAACTTATTTAAGTACACTTAACTTTTAGTTTGCCATGTACATATTTGGTATTGGACTTTACTGAGTCCATACATTTGGATTCTTTATGAGTATTCAGAATGTGAAGAGAAGCTGTTGTCTGGAGATTTTGAGTTTTGTCAGGAGTCTGGAGATCATTTGAAATGTCGGGAGAATCGAGACGAATTCCGATCATCTGGCAACCCTATTGCCTACCGAGTTGATACGTGTCAACTACGGTGAAATCCTTTCTATGACGCTATAAATATTATGTATACTAGGCTACACTAAAAGTATCGGGAATGGAATATTTCCACTGTTCCTGTCATATTAAAATCTTTTTCATTGAAAACTCCTTGGTTTTAAAAATCGAATACCATTTATTTATTTAAAAAAGATTCTCGCTCTTGTCACAAGGTTTTGTCATACTTGTTTAGTCGTTGAGAAAATGGAATTGACTCGAGAAAATTCAAGAGCGATGATTTATTATGACTTTCGAAGTGGTTTAACACAAAAGCAGTGTATTGACCGGATGATTTCTGCATTTGGTGATGAAGCGCCATCCAAAACCACAATTTATCGCTGGTTTGCTGAATTTCAACGTCACATGTCAAGCTCAGTGACGTCAAGGTCATCCAAAAACTGCAGTCACCCAAGAAAACGTTGATGCTGTGCGTAAGCTGATTGAGGAAGATCGACATGTGACATACCGCGAAATTCAAGCATCTTTAGACATTAGCATGAGTCAAATACAAATAATCTTGCATGAACAATTTTCGCATTAGCTCTGTGAAGAGCAAAAAGCGGCTCGCGTTACTTGGTTCATCAGAACTCTCGAAAGATTCCACGCAGGATCCTTAAATGCTGTATACAACATCGTATCAGGTGACGAATCCTGGATATACGCGTACGAACCCGAAACAAAAAACCAGTCATGAGTTTGGGTGTTCGAAAATGAGTTAAAGCTAACAAAAATTGTTCGTTCACGGAGTGTTGCAAAAAAAATGGTGGCCACGTTTGTCTCCAAAACCGGCCATGTTACGACTATTCCTCTTGAGGGACAAAGAACGGTTAATTCAGAATGGTATGCTAGCATTTGTTTGCCACAGGTCGTTTCTGAACACCGTAAAGAGAAATTATTAGACCATCCGCCGTACAGCCCCGACCTAAGCCCTGATGATTTCCATACTTTCCCTAAGATAAAGAATAAATTGCGTGGACAGAGATTTTCATCACCTGAAGAAGCTGTGGACGCCTACAAAACGGCCATTTTGGAGACCCCAACTTCCGAATGGAATGGTTGCTTCAATGATTGGTTCCATCGTATGGAAAAATGTGTCAAATTTCGCGGAGAATACTTCGAAAAGCAATAAATACATTTTTAAATAGTAATGTTGTGTCACTTCCTTGATTCGGCTGTAATGGATGGATGACCACTACGGAGGACCACTCATTCACGCTTGTCTTTGCCATTAGAATCATTACATGATTTTAGTAACATTTGGTAGATAGTAAAACAGCTATTTCTTATATTATGCCAGTTGAATTAAAATATCTAGGCATCAAACGAAATTGTGATGATAGTAATGATAATGCGTAAGAGAAGTCACTATCCCATATCGTCCAGGGGGTGTCGTAAGAGGCGATAGAGTGTAACTGTGATGCAGACATATGCATTTTCCAGATAGCGACTGAAAAATAATTAAAAAAAACTGTGATTGTCGTCAACCCGCCTGCTAAGCGTGACAACTGTGCAAATATCCCACATTCATTGATAGGCTGTGATGATGACAAATAATATTAAAAACATTGAGTAGTTAATTAAGTATTTGTCTTTGGAAGTTACAAGCTACGGTTTTATGATGATTGCACCATAAATGGATTGTCTCGATCGGGGAGGAACCACGCTTTAACAAAATACCAGCGTAAATAAGCAGTATAATACTGCTATTTTCTATGGTGCATGTGGAGAACCTGAGACCGGATTGATATAGGTGTCTGTGGATCATAGTATGAAGACTTACTATCAGGTGAAATCTGTGCTCGTTTGGCACGCTGCTTGTGTAAGAATTATTTTTTTTAGTCATTATTTTAACTTTTTATTACTTTAGGATGTGGAATGTATATGGAATTTACGTAGAAGGTCATCCATGAGTCGAATCGACTGAGGGGGACCACGCTCTTACAGAATACCAGCGCTAAATACTTCAATGCTGACCGGTAGAAACGAGTCATTCCGTCTTAGTCCTCAGGGGTGAAAATGTATCTTCATTTTGATATTTAATCGAGGACAGATGTAGATGTCTATGGATCACAGCATCCACTTACGATTCGGTGAAATTTGTGCGTTTGCCATCCTAATTCCATATTAAAAAATTACTGAAAGACTAAACTAAACTAACATACATGAAAGCTAAACACTGACCTACACTACCTTTAAATGTCACGTTATGCGATTTAGCTAAGCTTTCTTTAGGCATTTAATGCAGAATGCAAGTGAAAGCTATAACAGAGAGCGTATGATTACTTTCGATGCCGACGTTTAACTCAACCGTCCAATGACCCGACCGGAGACTATCGAGCTGCACTCTCGCATCACCTATATAAAGGAGCCTTAGATTCGGATCATTGCTGAAGGCAATGTCAAGCAATCAAAGTCAAAGTCAAAGCAATCCCCACTAGTTGAACAGATTATTTTAAACGTTGAATTAATGAAATTTTTTCTAGTTTTTTGAATATTCCAGAGCGATGTACAGTACAACAGTCACCTCATTGATTTAATAATAATTTGTGTAACCCTAGATAGGTTTATCTGGGTTAACTTAGAACTATCCATGCTTTTTAAGTATGGAAATATCTGCGACTATGTACTAAGTACCTAATATTACAAAATGACTTTCCATAAAACGTACCTTAATAAGTTTTATTATATGATGTAATTATAACAAGTAATGTGAATACAACGATTTAGTCTCAGTAGTTTGTAAGTAAGTATTAAAAAAAAAATGTTCTCAAGACATAATTTCGGTCATGGCGGTCTCAACAGAGACAATAAGCTATCGACGCAGAACAGGATTATTGTACCAAGTGTTTGCGCAAACATAGGTGCACTTTATATTCCCTCACTTTCATAGTCCGATGGGACGGTACCATCGTACTGAGTTATAATTTAGTTCGATTAAATAGCCCTTCTATTTCTTCTAGCATTTGATTGTTTCGAATCGACTTTCGATACTCTTTCAGGAAGTACTGAGTATGCGACATTCGTAGTTTATATCAATAAACAATGGAGTAGTAATACTAAGTTTTGGCGGGAACTTAACCGTCGATGAATTGTTGCTCCTATTTTATCCTTTAAATAATTGTTTGAAGTAGATTTTTTAATTTTTTGGCAACAACCAGTCGTACACAAAAGAAAATAAAATACAAACAACTTATCTGTTAGAAATTGACCTACAGTAACGAAAAGTTAAATACAATTTAAAAGAAGAATTTACATGGTGACAATACATACTGAACTTTTAGAGAAAACGACAAAACAAGAGCTTGGATGTTGATATAAACCTTAAGTTATTTCGATCACTTAGGCGCCTAATGAATTTGAGCGACTGTCCGCTGGGTTGAGCTGTCGTCATAATTTCCCAAAAAGTTCGCAATTTTCATTAGCATAATGTGAAGAAAATATCTATAAATATTAATAACGAAGATGCCGAATGAAATGAAGACATGGCTTATAGAACAAGCATCCAAGCCAAAAATCATAATAAAAAAGATAGTAGTGTTTTCTTATAAACATAATAAGTGACAGAATGGGCTCATGGGATCATCTTATGGCTGAATACAATACAATACAATACGATAACTTTATTTCAGGCATCAAGGATTTAAAATACAACCTATGTAACATTTTTATAACTCAATTTCAGCTCTGGCTAACTTGCACTGTGGTTTGCGTATCAGCATGGTCTCGGCCTTTCTACCCAGTCCACAGAGTCAATGCACCGACCAGGGTAACACGGTTTGCTCCTCCACCTCACCCACCTTACCCACCTCATCCGCCTCGTCATAGAGCACCTCGTAAGCTTTTTAATTATTATTTATAAAAATTATTATGTACAGATGTTTTGGATAGGAAATAATCGTGTAGGTGCAATGTAAAAATATCCACTACCCCATATCGTGGGTGTTGTATAAGGCGACTGAAGGAAATTGATACAGGAAACGGGCTGCGGCATCTTCCTTATTACAACTCAAAATTATAAAAAACTGCGGTTGCTAACCCGTCTGCCAAGCATGGCAATTATGGCAAAATCTCCCTTATGGAGCAATCTATAGGAGAAGACCTGGGTTCAGCAGTGAACTTTTATAAGCTGTAATGGATGAATAGCTACATGGTGGAGGCATATGAAAATCATTCGCATTTCTCGTCAAAAAGAATCCTTATCACAAGAGTTTTACGTGGTAGAGCCACGCTGTGCAGTTGTATTATGGCTGCGGTACGAAGAGCGAGCGGAGTCGTGTACCACGCTGTCACAGAATACCAGCGTGAAACAGGAAATAGGGATACCTTTTTATGGTAACGAAGCATTCCATCTTAACCCTCAAAAGTGACAACGAATCTGCATTTTTATTCTTAATCGAGGATAGATGTCGATGGCAATGGACCGCAGCATCCATTTACCATCAGGTGGACAGTAACAATTAAGAAAAAAATTAACTCTCTAGTATATTTTCAGCACCGATCCCCCAAGAGGAACCCCAATGGCAAAGACCGAAGCGCGAACATTACGAAGACCACAACCACGATTACGACCACCGCGCCACCAGCGGCGTTACCGGACCAGTTCATACGTTTGTGAAAACCGACAAGAACGCTAACTATAAGTGGGGGGTCCGCCATCACGTGGGAAACAAATACGCTTCATAGGGTCTTTATGGGATTTTAGCTATGTTATTTATTTAGTACTAGTTCTAGATTTGATTGTTGTATTTGTGGTAGTTTAGTTTGAGCTTCATTGTGATATAAAAATTTACAATCAAATAGATTTTTAATGGTTTGAACTTTTTAATATAACGGTAAATTACGTGTTTTTTTTAATATACTGCACATGTTTATAACCGATTTATAAAGAGAAGATTATTAACTCGACAGTTTTTCTTAAAAAAGTATCATCCCATCTCCAAAGTTAGTTAATATATTTAGCAATTTTTTATTAACTTTAGATTACAATTTAACTGTAGTCCCATGTCACTTGAAGTCGGTTTATCTCTCCTAAACATTTAAAAAAATCATCTTTTTCATCAACCTACAACAACCCACTGGTGGACATGGACCTATCTATTATAGGAAGAATTTGTTATTATCGCCACCAAAAGCTTCGCATCTTTGTTATTGCTCCCCGTCGTCGGCTTGTATGGGAAGCCATGTGGTATCCTATAGCCTATAGCATCCTGTTCCAATATCAATTGGACACAGTTTCCACTTTCCACACATTCCTTTTGGACACAGGCCACTCAACATTTCTTAAAGGGTTTAGAAGGGTGCAAGGAAGTGTACGCCGCGCTGTCCAATGATGGCGACGTCACGTGTCTTCAATATATTTCTTTTTTGATTTTCGGACATGCAGGTTACGAGACGAACACGCGTACCGTGATTTTATTATTTTAATCTTTTTAACGCACATGAAGAGCAACCCCTGAGCTACTACATATTTGCATCAAAGGAAATTAATATTTCTTTATTTATAGGAAGAAATTTTAAAATATTCCGAAAGTCAAATCAACATCAGATATACCGGAACACCCTATTCTGAAAAACATAATTTGTGTACTTGTATATAGAGTTACGGATAAGTTTTAATATAAAATTGGTGGACGTCATGAATTCCAAAAATTGAGGCATCTTATGTATTTTTAAAGTCTGGATAAAACTAAATACAAGTAATGTAATTATTGTTTTTGAAGGAATGAAGTAGTAATTTAAAAAAATAAAAGCTTTAAATAACGGAAATATTTGCAATTAGAATCGTACTTCGATATTTGATACGTTACATAAATTGCATCATGCCGTCACAGTATCTAGCTACTGTGCCGAATTAGTATACGAATTCCAAACGGAGTTAATAATTTTGCAAAAAACCAAATATTTGGTATACTGCATCCTAACCTTCTTTCGAATCATGAGTTATAAGTAATTTTTATTAGTCGTCCACTCTGTTGATGCTGGGGTCACACCATGGGCTCTAGCTCGGTTTACCTAAGCTCTTCATTATAAAGAATCAGTGCACTACACTGGGTGATTTTTTACCGTAGGTATGGTCGTAAGGCAACGGCACTGATATTTCACAATTTATTTTTTACATTGACATATTTTAAAATTGATCTATCAATAAATACTACTAATTGGGTGCTCATTAATTTCAATAGGTTTTAATTGATTTATTTATTTAGTTCAAAATTTTTGTTTTTATTATTTTATTACAGAAAATTTATTTCAAATTAGTGGTATTTATTGATAGTTCAATCTCATAATATGTTAATGTAAAAGCAAAAAATGAAAAATATCACTGCCATAGGCTTCTATTCCGTTCAACTGTTCACACCTTATTTTTTACAGACGGTAAAAAAATCATCCAGTAGATATATGATATATATGATAAGCCCCTGATTACGTTACACGCGTCTTGAATGGTCTACGAGTTTTTAAATCTGATGACCCTTCCGACCTAGAAAGCTAAATTAGCTATTATACATATATAGAGATGGGCCGAATATGGATTTCACCGAAACATAAACATAAACTCAAAAACATTTAAAGTAGATCTATCCCATAAATAAAATATACTTTCAACAGTAAATTTTTGAAAGACATGGCATTACTCAATTTGTGATTGATTTAATTCGTACATTTTAAAGAGGACCAAAGATGTTTTGAGGACACTTTGTCTTAACGAATATTGTAAACTGCCGAATATGCCGACTACCGAATATGAAACGAATATTCGGCCCATCTCTACTTATATATAGATATCTAGAAAGATAATTTGATGTGTGGTACCGGTGTAAGGAAAAAGATAATGTCTTTACTTGGGGTGATTGTTTGAGATTATGGCATAAGAATTTTAAATGCTAAATGTAAATAACCTAGACCAGTGATAGAGACCAGCATAAAGGTTGACATGTGAAACATATCCTACATGCTTGTCTCACTGACGCAGACTTCTTATTTCTATAGAGTTTTTCGGCAGAAAAAGTCCGCCAGAAAAGAATTTCAGGACTTAAAAATAATTTCACTTCCTATACATACAGGTTTCCTCACGATTTTCTTCACCGCCGAGCACGAAGTAAGTTAACACATAACATTGTAATTTAGAACTTTATTAGTGTAGGCGGGCATTAAGCGCAATTACCTTGCACGTAATTTAATTACGTATTAAGGAAGCGCTCATCCCCGGAGCTATTACGGCTTTAAATTAGCGATTGTGTTACGTGAAATAACATTTCCAACGCAAAAACTACACAGAAACATAGAAGTTAAGTTTATTTTTATAGAATAAGTATGACAAACGAGCACACAGTCCATCTGGTGGCAAGTGGATGCTGTGGCCCATAGACATCTACATCTATCCTCGATTAAGAATCAAAACGCAGGTGCGTTGTCAACCCTGACAACTGAGATGGAATGCCTCGTTACCAGTAAAAAGGGTCTGCGGTTTTGTACTCTCACCATACGAAACACAGCAGCATGAAGCTCCTATTTTATACTGCTATTTTGTGAGAGCGTGGTCCTACTCCGGTCGAGCCGACCTTTTCGTGCTACAATTAATATAGCTGCGGTGTGGTTCTACCACGTAAAAAACCTGTCTTTAATTACTTACTTAGCGGTTCAGAATACCTGAGCACCGAGTTGCGGGATTGGGGCTCGTATTCAGAATAAAAGCTGCAGCCGACATTTGTACAATAACAGAAACTAGCACACGCACATCGTATTGTGTGTCAGTATATGTAGCTGAACTACGAGCCCACCGGGTGATAAGTTGCTCACTAAACTAATGGATTCCTCTGTGTTATCCAAGTACGCTTTTAGAAAAAATATGAAATTAGTGTACCTTTATTTTCTTCGTATAAAAACAGGTCTATGTAATTTTTTATATAATTATTTAAACTTAAGACGTTTATTTATAAATACTACCATTTTAAAATTCTACCTTGATCGGAGAAGAGACGGCGAAAGAAACTTCTGGCATCTTATTTTTATTACTTTACTCTGGCAATTAAACTTCAGACAACTTCTATTTATTACTACTACTCTGGCAGTGAATTCCGTAAAATATTACAAAAATGGAGCTGTGATCGAAACCAGAATACTAATAGATGCCATCAAAAACATAACTTGTAAAAACGCCAACTCAGTTCTTTGAGATCCATGTAATACCAAGTCGGTTAATTTATTCAGTCCCTACTTACGGGTCCTTCTGTCTTAAATTATTACGTAATTTTCTAACCTAACAACATCTTGTAGTGACCATATCAATATTTATTTTGATATGGTCACTATAAGATGTCTTTTATGTTTTAAATAAATATATTGACTTGGCCATCGCATGGAAACACAATGTATCTCACAAGTAATTCATATTATATTAAATAAGATTGTTTAGTGCGATTGCCATCTCATTTCTTTTTGTATAGATAGTCCAATTTTTTTTCCTTACAGGTACACTGATTCATTCACTGCAAATGTAACTTTGTAATCCTATATACTTATATACGATTACAAAGTTATTTATGCAGTTGGTGTATATAGAAGACTGGACCGAAATTGCAAAATATTTTAGTTTTTCCTTGATTTATACACTAAATACTAACATTATTCTAAATTTTAAGCTTCTATGTCTGCTAGAAGTGCCTTAGAGTTTTGATGATCGGTCAGTCGGTCAGTGAGTGACAAAATTAAGAAACTTTGACTAGTTATAATTCTTAAACTACTGGTCCAAATTGAATGAAATTTGAAATATACTGTATTTATACAATACTTGCTGGGTTATTGAAAATTCAGACTTCTAGTTTTATCCACAACGAAGTTATAGGGGGTTCGAAAATGGCCTGAACTGCTTCGAAAAAAGGATGGTACGGCCGTGCCGCTGTTTTGATCGACTTGGCGCGGGTACTGCCGTGCTCCCAGATATCATGTCATTCGTGGTCAATTTCTTTTACAAGATCATGCGATTGCTGCAATAGATAACATAAAACTTTCCTCCTAAGTTGGTCATTTCGTGACCGGCCGTATTCTTACGAATGGTATCAATTTATCGCCGTCGAACCGGAATGGGCCGAACAGAAACTTGAAATTATGTCACACTCGACGGCAACAGATACGGACTCGAATAAGAATGTCTCACTCAAGTTTCCACAGCACAACTCACAGTCTTCACGCTGTTCGCACCCTTAACCGTATTAAAAATAGTGATTATTTTCGCTCATACATTTATTGATTTGGTGCATATGTGAAGTTGGTGTAATTGTATACATTTCATAACAGCTGAGTGAACGGGCGTGGCCGCCTTTTAGCCAACTAAACTACTTTGGCTGGAAAAACAATATTTAAATTAGAACAGTTACCAATTCTATATATAGCTGTCTAATGTGTACTGTCTACTAATGTCGCGAAAGGTATTTTTCTACAGAAGTAAGGGGTGGCAAAGGGTGGTGGTAGATCCACGAATTAGCCATATTATGATTGTATCACGAATGGGTTGGATCATACGAAGTAGAGGCACGTTCTCACAGAATAACAGCTGCTAATGCTGCTGTGTTTCGTTTGGTGAATGTAGAGAACCGAAAGACCCCTTATACTGAAAAAGAGCCATTCCATTTTAGTTCCCAGGGGTGACAACGCATTTACGTTTTGATACTTTATTAACGAAA